TGCCACTGTAGGGACCAAGCCTTTAACACATCAGCCTTTGGGGACACTCAACATCCAAACCATAGCATAGCCTTTTATTTTAGCTTTTATCTAAAAGATTTCTGCCAATTTTTATTTCTGTCCAGAGTCAGTCAGAGATTCTGGAAGGCAGGACCTGGGTCTCATTCCCTGCTCACTCCCAGGTGCCAAGCATGGGGTCTGACCCCTAGGTAGTGTTTAATAAATATTTACTAAAGGAGTGAAGGGGAAATGGAAGAAAGAAAAGCAGGAGACAAAATGTCCCGAAACGACAGCAAACATAGTTTCCTGTTTTTCAGGGGTGAGAACTGGCTCAGAAAAAAGTCTGCAGTTCCAAACTCTAATGTTCATTCCAGAACAGCCATCAGGCTGCCCTGGTCATTAGTAAGACCGTCAGAGTTAGAAAGTCTCAGTGACCCCGACAGTGTACTTGCTCTGTAGCTGGAAAGGGTGAGGCAAAGCTGTTCCCTGTCTTCTCAGCCAGGAGGAGTTGAGTGTTTAGAAGAGGTGGAGGTGGGAATGAATAGTGCTTATTTCCCAACTTCTCTGCACATGGCTGAGATCCAGCTGGAGAGTGAGATGAAGAACAGAGTGATGGGCAGGTCCACAGAAAAGCTTCTCCCTGCCAGCATCCTATGCTAATTCTCTTGGGGTTGTTTCCTATGACATGCTCTTTGCCTCCTGAGCTATGAGGGTGCTTTACTTTGGTCTTGTGCTAAATTATAATTTTGATTTCTAGTATTGAAGAGGGGGTCAGAATTCACAGATGCTTATATTTGAGTCACCTGGAAAGCCTCCTAGGAATGACCACCTAACTTTGCGGTGCAAGCTGGGCTCCAGGAGGCCCTTCAGGGAAAGCCACTATCAGCAGCCTGGGTTTGAGAGGATGGATGTGGGAGACAACAAGACCTGGTCATATTAGGACCATTGATGCTGTCAGCACCAGGTGGTCTCCAGCACTGAGGAGTGGTTGGTGTATCTAATGCAACTAGTCGTATCGTATTAGATTATCATCATGATGTAGTGACACTGTGCTAAGCACATCCATGAATTAGTTTAGTTCTCAAACCACCTTGTGATGTAAGAGTTATTATCAGAACCACGTAACAGATGAGGACTCCACACTGTGTTTCAGAGAGTTTTCAGTGAAAACTGCCTTTAGGACAAGTCTCTGAGCTGAGATTTGAGTCCCTGGTCCAAATATACTTCCCAGGCACTTAAGTTAAGATTAAAGTTTCTTTATTGATTTAGGTCTTCTGTCCAGGAAGCAGATCCATAAGAGGAACTGCTTATCAAAGACAAAGGGGAGCGGGAGCAGATGGGGAGGGTCTCAGAATGTGAGCAAGAATAGTACATGGGAAAAAGCAGATAGAGGATGATAGGATGAGATAATCATGTCCTGGAATCCAGCTCCAAGAAGGCCTTGGTAGGGTTGATGGGGAGTCCCAGAGCACAGACTGCACCAGAGGACTCCTATGCTGAGCAGGAGTGGTGGTTCAGTCTTTGGCTGAGGTATTGTGTCTCTGTGGTGTGGCTGTAGTGCATGATGCTGCTCTTTGCAACAGTCTCTCTCTCAAAGGGATGCCCAGGCACACGCTCCCACGATGGCCTCAGACTCTGCCTTGAGTGATCCATGGTCTATTTGCTAATCTACTGCAGGGTTTGGGCAGGATGTTGAGGAAACACAAAGGTGGAATGTCCATTGCAGCCTCCTGCAGTAGAAATGCAGGATTGGTTGAGCAGGTTGTACACTAAACAAAAGGACTTTGCCATGGGGACTAGTTGAGGAGAACAGGGAATTGACATGCAGGCATTCCCTCTTTCAATCAGTCTGTGGGCTTTGCAATTTTGGCTGAGAGAGGCACCTTTTTCTATGTCAACCATTCAGAGGGTCATCTTTTTCTAACTTGAACAAAGGTAGAAAGAGTGTAGTCCACCAGCAGCTTGTTCTTTTTGAGAGAGAAGAGGAGCAGGGCCTCACTGAGGAGTCCAGGTTATCTGGGGCAATGGGGGTTGAGAAGGAAGATGAGGCTTCAGGTCATAGAAGTTGAGTGGTTGAGCCTAGAGAAGAAGGCAGGGTGCAGGGGCAAGGGGCCTGCTTTCCCTCGTCCTGGGTATGGACTCTCCTGGAAGTCAGTTGAAACTGTTCAATGGCTTTAAGTGGGAGGGAGACATGACATGGTCATTTTGGTGTTACTGGTCAATCTTGGATATGACAAAATCAAGTCCCAAAGATATCAAGTGCTGTTGAGGATATGGAGAAAAGGGAACCTTTGCATACTGGTGGCAGAAATGTAAATTAGTATAGTTGTTTGTAAACAAAAATCATGGAGGAACCCCTCAAAATATTAAAAACAGAACTACCATATAATCCACCAATTCTACATTTTGGTGTATATCCAAAGGCAATGAAGTCAGTCTGTGGAAAAGACATTTATACTCTCATATTTATTACAGTATTATTCACAATAGCCAAGATGCAGAATCAACCTGAGTGTCCCAGCAACAGGTGACTAGATAAAGAAAATGTGGTGTGTATACACAATGGACACAATTTCACTACAAACAGAATGAAGTCCTGTCATTTGTGACAACATGGATGAACGTGAAGAACATTGTTAAGAGAAATGAGCCAGTCACAGAACGTACTCCATGATCTCACACTTCTATGTGAAATGTATCAAATAGATAGAATGGTGGTCGCCAGGGGCTGATGGTAGGAGGGAGATATTGGCCAAAGGACACAACGTTCAGCTACACAGGAAAAATACTTCCAAGAGAGCTACTGCACATTAGAGTGACTGGCTCATAACAATATTGTGTACTCGAAAATTGCTAATAAGAATAGAGTTTTAAGTATTTTGCTACAAAAAATAAATATGTGAGGTAATACATATGATAATTAGCTTATTTAGCCATCCCACAATACATAATACGTATGTATGTATGTATAAAATGTATATAACTTTTATTTTTCAACTACAAAATAAAAATGCCTAAGGTCTAGGGATGTAGCTCAGTGGGTGGAGTACTTGCCTAACAAACAGAAAGCCCTGAGTTTGAACTCCAGTGCTGCAAAAAAACCAAAACCAAACAAAAAATGCTAAACAATTGAAATAGACACTTGTTTAAAAGAAAAAAAAAAGTAAAAGTTGAGTCCTATTCAATGTGACAGTTAATTTTCCCAGTCTATGCAAGTGTCCCCAACTTTCCAGCCCCTTCAGTTTGGGGTGCTCAAAGTGGGTTTGAGGATTCCATTTCTGGCCCTGCCTTCTCCAGCTCCCTACACTGCCTGCGTCCCCTTACTTCCTACCTGCTGCAGCCACTTTTGGGCTGAGGTCCTCTGGAGTTGGAGCCGGAAGGTGGGTGAAGGACCGTGCTGAGACTTTTGATGGATTCTGCACACTCCCTTTTGGTCCTCTTTTGACTGTTACTGCTTCTCTGACTGCAGCCAGCCATCAAGGCCCTCCAGGGGGCAGCACCAAGCTGCATTTCTGGCGGGGGTGGGGTGGTGGGGAATGGGGGGACGGGGCAAGGTGTGGAATGGACCATGTGTGATTTTTTAGGCATCCTGTAGCCACAGGGTGTCTTGTGGCCAGAAGGTGTCCGTTCTCCTGCTTCTGCCTCCTAGTTTTCCAATTAGGTGGCCAGGTTGAGGTCAGGTTGAGTCTATGAGTTCTGGCAAAGCAAGCAATTGGTGGTCTATAAGCATGTTGGTGATCTTTAAAAGGCATTTGACAGTGCAGCACACTGTGTCCAGTGCTTTGGGGACAGGGAATGTAAAGGGCATGTGCCTTGTTAGGCTGTAGAGCCCTAAGAGTGAATCTGACCGCAGGTCAGCTTGGGAATAACCCCAGGATTCATTGGGGGCTGTCAGAGGCTGTACCTCTTGGGGTCATGGAGATGAATAGCCAACTACTCCTACCTCTGTTTGTCAAGACAGTGAAGAATCTGGTGTATGCAGAGGGCAAACAAATAGGGTGGAAAGGGACAATGTGTTGCAATTCACTGCTCTTCCAAAATAACAAAAGATGACAGGACTCAACATTTTCACTCTTCTCAATGTAAAAAGTCATCTTGAATTCTTTATCTGACTTGAAAGCCATAATGAATCTTTGGAGTAGATAGGTTATGATCATTTAAATGTCAAAAGACACTGGAAAAATTAAGGGGTAGGCAGAAGATCCCATAGCCAAGGTGAGGGCAGAGTTAGGAGGAGTGAATCCCCTATTCTTGCTCCCCTTCCTATCTCCACCCTGCAGAGTCTGACTCACCAAACACATGGCCTCTCCCATGACACCTGCATGGCAGCAGTCTTAGAAAGCATTTCTAGGGTTTTCTGCCAATGCGTAAACAACTTTAAGGCCAGATCTGACTTCCATACTGTGATGGAACATGTTGCACAGGAAGGCAACACCTTTGAAAATTCAGTTCCCAGAATGAAAGTTTCATATTGTGTCCCCAACTAAGAAATTTTGTGCCAAGTGTGCACAAGTACCTGGAGGAAGTTTTTTTTTAATGCCTTAAGGGAATATATTGTTTTTAGGTTCTCATCTATGGTACCAGAAAGGTAAGTGTGGGAGCTGTCCTCAGTCATTCTGTATAGTCACTAAAGCAGGATTCTAAGACTCTCTGTAGAGCAGTGCCTGCTGACAGGTATTTGTAATCAATAGATGCTATAATTCAGGTTCATTACTAGTTCCTTGCTTACCCAATGAACCCAAATTAGTGTCATTAATTTGGAGGAAAGGGTGCTCAACTCAGGTCCTTGTAGAAACTGTCCCCAGGCTCCTGGCTGGTTGCTCTGGGCCAAAATGCTCCCTCTGTGGCAGGAGACAAATGCTGGCCAGCTGATGTTCTATCCTCCTTTTCCATGTCCCCAGACTGCATGGTCAGTCTATATAGACTGAGAGACAAGGGTGAGTAGGGGAGGGTGGAGAAGGAGCTGCAGAACCTGCAACTTCTTTTTTATTTTAAATCAGGAATTATTACCCGAGAAGATGCAGAAGATCTCCTGGAGAACATGGCTGAGGGAGCATTTCTGGTCCGTGTCAGTGAGAAAATCTGGGGCTACACCCTCTCCTACCGCCTGCAACGGGGCTTCAAGCACTTTCTTGTAGATGCTTCTGGGGACTTCTACAGCTTCTTGGGAGTGGACCCTAATCGCCACGCCACACTCACGGATCTCATTGATTTCCACAAGGTATCCCATTTTGGGGTGCTATCAGAGCATAAAATTGGTGGAAATTTGTGCTGAAGAGAGCTAAGTAAATATAGCAAGGCTGCGGGCTCCAAGCCTGGGTGCAGGGCCTCAAAGCTGTAGCACATCAGGGGAAAAGAGATCAGAAGGTGTCCATTCCAGGCTCTGGGCACCCCTGTGCTTTCCCTCCCTTATGCCCTGATTCACGTGTGCACCTGTCTCATGTGAGTACCTGAGTGCTCCCTACTGTCAACCTGAAGGGCTGTTGGGTCTGCCCTTTCTCTAAGCCCACATCTTAGTCTCAGGTATGTCCCTCTGGGGAACATCCTAGCCAGGCCTCTGGCACTTTCCAAGAGGTAGCTGGAGTGCAGCAGGCAACCCCCATAGCTAGGACAGATTTTCTAGCAGTGGAGTTGCCACCTCTCTTGTTTGAACTCCAGCTTTACCACTATGACATGCATGACCTTGGGCAGGTCACCTAGTCCCATTGAGCTTCAGTGTCCTAGCCAGGTGTCTTAGTCTGTTTTGTGCTGCTCTAACAGAATACTGCAGACTGGGTAATTTATAATGAACAGAAACTTGTTTCTCATAGTATTGGAGCTGGGAAATCCATGACTGTGGGGCCAGCATCTGCCATGGGTCTTCTTGGTGCACTGTCCCATGGTGGAAGGACAAGAGAGGGAGAGAGGCAGATAGGGAAGAGGAAGAGGGAGGGACAGAGGAAGGAAAAGAGGAAGAAGGAGCGGGGAAAGAAAGAGAAACTTGTTATTTTTTTTTAAAATAAGGAACCCCCTCCTGAGATAATAACACTAGTCTATTCATGAAAGCAAAGCCCTGATCACCTTTTATAGGTTCCACCTTTTAATACCAATACAATGGCAATTATGTTTCCAGCATATACTTTTAGGGGGCACATTCAAACCATAATACCAGGCAAATGTATGTAAATAATACTTAGCTGGGATCTTGTGGACTTTAAATAAGATCATATCTGGAATTGGAGAACATCATTCTGAGTGAGGTTAGCCTGGCCCAAAAGACCAAAAATCGTATGTTTCCCTCATATGTGGACATAAGATCAACGGCAAACACAACAAGGGGATTGGACTTTGAGCACATGATAAAAGAGAGAGCACACAAGGGAGGGGTGAGGATAGGTAAGACACCTAAAAAATTAGCTAGCATTTGTTGCCCTCAACTCAGAGAAACTAAAGCAGATACCTTAAAAGCAACTGAGGCTAATAGGAAAAGGGGAACAGGTACTAGAGAAAAGGTGAGATCAAAAAGAATTAACCTAGAAGGTAACACACATGCACAGGAAATCAATGTAAGTCAATGCCCTGTATAGCTATCCTTATCTCAACCAGCAAAAACCCTTGTTCCTTCCTATTATTGCTTATACTCTCTCTACAACAAAATTAGAAATAAGGGCAAAATAGTTTCTGCTGGGTATTGGGGGGGAGGGGGAGGGGGCCGAGTGGGTGGTAGGGGAGGGGGTGGGGGCAGGGGGGAGAAATGAATCAAGCCTTGTATGCACATATGAATAATAAAAGAAAAAGGAAAAAAAAAAGAATAGCATTTGCCTCTTAGGGTCACTGTGAAGTTTCAATCAATGAGATACCCATTTGGTAATGTGTTGAAAAAATATACCTGACACTTGTAAGTTATCAGGACATGCTAGCTGTTATTAAAATCTACTACCAACCAGTACATGGACCAATCCTTCCATGGTATGGATGCTTATTACAGTTCAATTACTCATTTTCCTTTCCCACTTAGCAGCTTCCAGTTTTTCATGATCATGAACAGTGTTTTAGAGACTTCTGCACTATGTACATGTCACAATGTCACTGGATACATGTGTTGTATTTTTCTAGGATGGATCTCCTGAACTGTAATTTCTGGAAAGAAAAGTATGCACATTTTAATTAGAAAAGATCTGCCAGATTGCTGTCCAACAACATGGCACCAATTCATGTTCCTGCCAAAGCCCTATCAGGCTGTTTCCTTACACTGCTGCCAACATAGGGGATTATCAGTCATTTAATTTTCTTTTTTTATCAGCAGATACTGTGCCTTTCTCTGATTACCACTGGAGCTGAGGATCTTTCATATATGTAATGGTCACTTGGGTTTCTTTGTCTGTAAATCATCTGTTCATATCTATTGTCCATCTTCCTATTTGGATGTCTTTCTTATTGATGTAACAATTCCTTCAGTCTCTAAATTTCTCTTTAGTTATGTCCATTATGCTTTTGCAGTTCTTCCACTGAAGTTTTTCTTTTTAATTTAAATGACCATGCTTTTCATTTGCGGGTTCATTTTTAAAAAATAATAACCCATTCTTGTTTCATGGATGACTTATCTTATTTCATTGAGAAGGTTAATGTGCCTCTCTTAAAGACCCTTTCTGTTTGTTCTATACACTTGGTATTTTCTTAGGAATCAGTCCTGTTATTGAGTTTGGCATCTTTCTTTTATAGTTATGGTGGCCCTTAAATATTTAAATTTTGGCCTATGAGGTTATCTTCCAACTTTAAGTTTCCTGTTTACCCTTGAGTGGACACAGGTCTGTTCCCCAAATGCAGTGTCTTCAAGCTGTGGGTGGAGTGGACTGTGAGTCGCCCATCTTTTGGGCATGGATGTGTCTGAACTTTTTGCACATCTGCAGCCTCCCCAGGAACCTTGCACTTTTCCTCATTTTCTAATTGGCTTGAGGCAAACATCTGTTTGGAGGTCTGTCCCCAACTTACACTAGCTCTAGCCCCACATTCACTCCTTGGACAATGTTATTCAGTATTTTTCAACAATTTCTCAACAATTTTTACTTTGTTTATGGCCTTACTTCTTATTTTTCAATACTTTAGTTAAAGGCAGATTTTTTTTTCCCTGTAATTTCTAGAAATTTGTGTGAGAGTGAGGCAGATTCACGGCCTTATTTTCTCTGTCTTAAACCAGTCTCTCCCGGGTGAATTTTATATCCCTTTCTTGATTATAAGTGAATTTTCCTTTTTTTTTCTGTTTTAGGAGGAAATCATCACTGTTTCAGGGGGAGAGTTGCTTCAGGAACCCTGTGGACAGAGGGACAGCCCACCAGACTACCACCTATTGTTTGAATGAATATTTTTCCCTTTTAATCAATTGGATTCCTTTGGGCATCCTTCTTTGAACTCAGCTTAAATCTTTACTATGGCCTTCTGGAAGAACTGCTATCCAGAGGAACAAGAAATATGGCGTTCATGCTACTGAATCTATCCCAAAGCTCAGGACAGAAATTGCTAATAACTGATGCAACTCTTTCATGGAGAATTTAGCTGTGACCTCAGAAGACGAGGCCTATTTGTTATGGGTATTCCAAACTGAGCTCCTAGAGTGAACGGGTCATGTTTTAATAATCCAAAATAATTCCAGGGCTGAACTCTGAATTTAACATATGGTAGACCTTCAGTAAATGTTTGTTGAATGAATGCATTTCTGAAAGTTTTCCAACACTAATTAGCAATGGTTGCTAGTAAGTTATATCCTACCTCTCACTCTTTATACCTTGTAGAGGTAATATGAAACAGATTGAAAAGGAGGACTTGGATGCTGCATCTTTCAGAATGTTCATTACACTCATTGATAATATCATTGGAGTCTTCCCAGCCCAGCTTCTGGGACAGGTGATGCATTCTGCACTTACTTCCTTATTTCGCCTCTTCTGCTACCTTCCTCTGTCTTTGAATTATATCTTGGCCCTGTTTTTGCAATACTGAACCAGTGGTTTCATGTATTCCTGCACATGTGCTCAAGACCATGGGTAGATTATAAATTCAAGAGTGGCTTTTAAACACTGGAAGAGAAAGAGATTGTTTTTCTCTAGAGTGCTCTTTGTATTCAGCTTATGCTCTTTCCTGATTGCTTTTGTTTTTTTTAATTTTGATTCTACTGTCCCCTTAATCTGAGTATGTTCTTCATATTAACAAGAAGACTCTTCCAATTACTTGTCTGTAACTCTCAGGGATGCTGTCTATTTGTCCATAATCATGTTCCATGTTTATTGTCATATGCACAAAGGCAGCAGATTAGGATAGTATGATCACAGATCCTGGAGTCAAGAAGACTTGGGTTCATATCCCCATCCTGGAACTTGCTAGCATTGTAATGCTTGCAGCATTGTCTTTGATGGATATAAAAGGATGAACCAGCTCTGGGACATCTACATGATAGCTATGTCAAACATCTCTTATGGTCCACTTCCCCTCTTGCTTCACCAGTTCTTTGGATCATTGGTCACTTGTCTCCTTCCAGCCACTCTCACTGTAACCACTTTTGCACAGGTTCTGCTTTTTCTCACTGTGATACTCAGTCTCATATGAGCATAAGCCAATGGTGCTTTGCCACACGTGGTGCTATGGACTTCCTGGGAAGTTAATAGACATGTGGTGAACCCTAGATCAATGGGTGGCTGAGATTGATTGATCACTTCTTCCTCTTCCTCCTGAAGGACTGCTCTGGGAGGTGGCTCTTTCTATGGCCTCTTAGAAGACAGCCCTGCAAGATGGAGCGACTAGTGTGATGAAACCAAGCAGTGGCCAGATTACTCATTCACCTGTCTTTTTTCATTGCTTATTCTCTGCCTCATCCCATCTCCATTCTGCTCCTCTGAGATTGCACTCCTGAAACAAGTAGCAGCCCAGAAGCTTTGGCTACACACACAGACTGCCTTTTAGGGAACCCAGGTTATGCATTCATCATATAAATGTGTTTAATATTATCAGTTTTGCATGTCAGTTCCCTAGCTTCCCTCCAGTCTGTCTGCTTCACTGGATGGAAGAAATGAAGTGATGGAGGGACCCTGTTTTCTGAACACTAACCTACTTTTAAACCATAGCTCAATATTATTCAATTTCCTTATTTCTACTAGGATTCAGAGGAATCAAGTTTCAATTCAGCTGTGCTATGTTCCGTCTGTGTGAAGTTGTTGAAGTCATTTAAACTTCCTAAACCTTTGTAGAGCTGGGAAGAGGATTTTCTGTATGGATATCATCATTTTTTTTCCAGGAAAATTAATTAAATGACAAATATAGAAGCTCTGTCCAAATGAAAGGTGTTGCAAACCACAACCACAGATGCAGCAACAACTTCGTGCTGAGTAGAGATGTGTCAGGGGATACAGTGTGATGATTTCCAACATGTTGGAAGAAACTTCCAGCAGCAGCTTTGAAAGCAGACCAAGATGGGTTGAGAACCTGAATCCCCGGGCAGTTGTTCCTGTCACCTCCTAATTAATATGTGAGAGACAACAGCTGAGTTTTCCATCCCTAGCACATTTATTTCATTTTATTTGGGGCCTGCACTTTCTGCATGTCTCATATATTTTAGGTTTTACCTGACTTTAAAATAAATTCCTTGTAAGTTGTCCTGCAAATGAAATTACTGTCTGGAAAACTGCAATTTCATCTGGAGAGTTTTATTATGCTAATAAATGTCAGAATTCTCAAATAAAGGAATTGCTTCTTTTTTTTTTTTCCCTGAGCCTTACAAATATAATGAAAAACAGTCAGCCAGCTACAAGACTCAGCAGAGGGAAAATTTATAATCTATAACCAGAAAGAGAAGTTGTAAAAAATACTATGCAACTTAATGGAAGATAAATTTCAGGGAATTAAGGAGCAACTTGGGTGCAAATTCGAGGAGATCCCTGCATGGCAGATATTCTTAGGGAATATCCAGGGGCTAAAATGAGCTAAGGAGAGAGTGAGCCCTGAGGGAAAACTAGGGTGTGAGATCTGGGGCTTGGGAGAGTTGTCTCCTTTCTGTCCCTTTGACTCTTTCTTCATCACAGGACTACTTGTGATCCTGGATGAATTTCTCCATTTCTGAGCCATAATTTCCTCTGTGAAGTGTGGTAAACATTGCCTATTTCAGAGGGTGGCTGTGGAAACAAGTTTTTTTTTTTAATAATTGTGACAAGTATTGGGTTAAGCCTGATTTGTGCATATGAGTGAGGGTGTATGTGATTCTTGAAACCATGTGAGGGACAATGCTCTCATCTCCATCTTGCACATGGGGAAACTGAGGCACAGAGAGTTTCAGAACTTTCCCAAGGTTGCTTCTCCGGGAAGGTGAAGTACAGAGATCGATCATAGCCTGGCCTCTGGGTCTGCACAGATCTTAAACTAGTGCTTCTCAAACTGGAATGTGTGAACAAAACACATGCTGATGTTAAAAATGCAGATTCTCCCTCAGAGGATTTGGGATCAGGCTTGAGGTTCTGCATTTCTAACAAGCTCCCAAGTGGTGCTGTTGCTGATGGACTTTGGGCCACACTTTGAGAAACCTGCTTTTAAAGCAGGAGTTGGGCTGGGCACCACGTCCTGTAATCCTAATTATTTGGGAGGCTGAGATCTGGAGGATCATGGTTTGAAGCCAGCCCAGACAAAAATTCATGAAATGCCATTTGGAAAATAACCAGATCAAGATGGATTGGAGGCATGGCTCAAGCGATAGAGTACCTGCTTTGCAAATGCTAAGCCCAGAGTTTAAACCCCAATACCACTATACCACTAAAAAAAAAAAAAAAAAAAAAAAAAAAGCACAAAACAAACCAAAAAACAAAAAAGAGTTGGAAAATTGTAGCTGCAAGCCAAATTTGGCCTGCTGCCTCATAGCCCGAGAGATAAGAATGGATGTTGTATTTTTAAGTATTTGGGAAAAATTAAAATGACAAATAATATTTTATGGCATTAAACTCAAATTTCAGTGTTCACTCATAGAGTTTTATTGGAGTAAGCCACACTCACTTGTCTACATATTGTATCGGCTCTGTATGACGTACAAGGGCTAAAATATTTACACTCTAGCCCTCCTTTACACTATGGTACACGTGTTAGGAATTATTTTGCTCCCTTTCTCTGCTTTATCTAAATCTACTCTTAGTATGCTAGTCAGCTTTTTATCACAGTGACAAAATATCTGAGAGAATCAACTTAAAAGGAGAAGGGGGAAAAACAAGGTTTATTTCTGAGAGAATCAACTTAAAAGGAGAAGGGGGAAAAACAAGGTTTATTTCTGCTCATAGTTTCAGAGGATTCAGTCCCTGATCACTGGGTTCTGTTGCTTTGATGTTCAGTGGCACAGTACACCATGGCGGGAAGTGTGTGGTAGAAAAGGCTTGTTCACGATGGGCAGCAGGTCTCTCCCAGTGACCTAACTTCCTTCCACAAGCCCCGCCTCTTAAAGGTTCCACTATGTTCCAACAGTGCTATACACTGGGAACCAAGCCATTAACGTCTGGGCTTTTAGGGTGCACTTCTAAACCTTTGGACTTAGGAATTATTTCAACACCATAGTTTATACTTTAGAGAAACCTAAGTAAATGCATTAAATTTTGTAAGAGCATTCTCATTTTAATTTTGAATCTTATTTCTTGTATTCAAAAACAAGATTTCTTTTCTTGCAAGGGATTCTAACCAAATATAAGCAAGTAGTATTACAATTATACAGATATGTTACATATGGATATATGGTCATTTCCTTTCTAGAATTTTTCATTCTTCCCTGTAGGTAACTGTGTATAGAGATGTTTCACTCTTTCAGTCTGTAGGTCCTGGGGTCAGCCAATGCTGTGGGTATTTGTGTAGTTTGGGTAAATGTCTATTCAAATAATTTTCTCATTGAAAAAATTCAGAGCATTTACTTTTTTGTTAAGTGTTTTGAATTCCTTTTATATTCTGGATATTAATATCCCTTTGGATGAATACTTTTCCAGTGTTTTCCCCATTTGGTAGATTGTCTCTTCTCTGTGTTGGTTGTTTCCTGTGCTCTGAAAAAGCCTCTTAGTTTAATATAATCCCACTTTCCCATTTTTGTTTTTGTTGCCTAGGCTTTTGGGGTTTCATCTAGAAATATTACTGTTTATGCTGATGTCTTATAGTGTTTTCCCTATATAATCATCAAGGAACTCAAATCAAAATCACAGTGAGATACCATCTCACCCCAGTCAGAATGACTATTTCCAAGAAAGCAAAAAATAAGAAACACAAGGGTGCTAAGAAAAGGGAACTCTTGTGTGTTGCTGGTGGGAAAGTAAATTAATATAGCCATATGTCCACCTTTTTTTTTGTTTTTCCTTTTGC